ATAGTCTCCAAGAAAAATCTTGATTTCGGCTACAAAAACTGCTGCCGGCCAAATCAAACTCTTTCCTGAAGTTTTCAACTGCTCTGAACGCTCTCTAAAACCTGATTTCATGCACTTCAACAGCAGTTGACACCTCCAAAAATGTGTTTCTGTAACTCCAACTAGCATAATCTACAAGAAAACCTTGATTTCAGCTACCAAAACTGATGCTGGGCAAAACCAAACTCTTTCCTGCAGCTTTCAACTGCTCTGATCTGTCTCTAAAACCTGATTTCATGCACTTCAACAGCAGTTGACACCTCCAAAAATGTGTTTCTGTAACTCCAACTAGCATAATCTACAAGAAAACCTTGATTTCAGCTACCAAAACTGATGCTGGGCAAAACCAAACTCTTTCCTGCAGCTTTCAACTGCTCTGATCTGTCTCTAAAACCTGATTTCATGCACTTCAACAGGACACCTCACCTCCAAAGTGTGTTTCTGTAACTCAAACTAGCATACTCTCCAAGAAAAACCTTAATTTCAGCTGCAAAAACTTCTGCCGGCCAAACCAAATTCTTTCCTGCAGCTTTCAACTGCTCTGAGCAGTCTCTAAAACCTGATTTCATGCACTTCAACAGCAGTTGACACCTCCAAAGTGTGTTTCTGTAACTCAAACTAGCATACTCGCAAACAGTGGGTACTCTCTGCTCTCTGCAGGCCAATTGAAGTCAGTGCAGACCTTGCAAATGATTCCTGTCCTTCCTTTCAAATTAATAACAGGGAAAAACTGGAGGGCTTTCTTTTCAGAAATAAAATGATTCCATGACAATATACTGCAGAGACAAGTACACATTATTGGATTATACAAGCGTTCAGTTTTAAGCTTCATTTTCCAGCAGATGTCTCCCCGTTGTTTACCATAGTGGCACAGCCTCTGAAAACATAGGTCAAGGCTGGAATGAGATCTGCCCCCTAGACTGAGGGAGGAATTCCCTTCCCTGAAGAGCCTAACTCTTGGCATTTCCACATTTTTTCACAGATCCCTCTCAGTGAGGTAGGACTTAATCAGGGATTCTCTTCACATCCCCACTGCTTACCAAAGAGCAAAATTTCCTCTCAGAGAGCTATTTTAGTATTGTATCTGCTTTTGAGCAAGATCACAGAGAAGGAGCCAGGGCTGGAGCCTGACTAAGCCTTCTTTGAACTAAAGCTTTCAACAGCAGGAGGAAATGGCACACCCAGAAATCTCACTGCACTTCAAGAACTCTGGGGGCTTTTTGCCATTAAGATCTTGAACTGTGCTTTCAGTCGTACTCTGTTCAGTTTAATTCTTTATCTTTCTGACCTTGTATGCATATTTTTGTGCCGAGTTTTACATTCATGTAAGCCTGGATTTCTCATCTTCCCACTGGGAAAGCTCTTGGTCCATGTAGTATTTCCACACCTCCTCCTCGGGTGAAGCACTTAATTTACTTTAGTATCCCATCACTGTGGTCTTCAACACCATCAAGAGATGCTCCCACGTAGAAACTTAGATATGTGAATTATTTTATACATGGAACGTGAGTGTCACTTTACAGGACTTTGTTCTGGAGGAAATCTGCTTCCATTTCACCTGAGGATTTAACTTCACTAGTGCCACTGGTATAGATAAATCACTTTTCTTTGAATAATTAGTTTGGCATTTCTGACAATTCTGTGCCTGCAAGAGACCATGATTAACCTTTTTAATTGATCCTGAGCAGGTGCAGGGCCTGTCACTACATTAGTGGGGATACAGCATTCTGCAGGATTTCTCTCTATACCCAACTCCACAGGGTGTGCTGCTGATAACAAACAGCCCAACAGCTTTCAGTGTCCATCTCTCACCTGCTCTGGCACCTGCACAATCACCCTTCTGAAGTACACATCTTGCCACATTATCACTCCAATTACCAATTTTCATGGTCAAGCAATGACAGTGTGTGTGATCCACTTGTTTCTCCTGAGCAGTCTTTCAGGGCTAGTTACAAAGGTGAAAAGCTCAAGGTGTATGAACAGGTATATCCTATCACAACACTACTCCTAACATCTGAGTCTTCATCAGTTTGGGCTATTTATACCATAAAAATAAGAGAGAGCAGGTTCATGCAGAGAAGAATATTTCAAGTGGCCCTCCCATCTCCCAAATCTACAGACTTACCCAAAATACAATGTCCACAAAAAATATGGTTTATTGGACTAGACTAAATGATGTAATGCTCAGACACTGCATTTGTATTAACAATGCTCTTGCAGAGGTACATAAAATGATACTTTATTTTTTCCTGCCTGTAATTAAATCTAAGCACAGGAAATAAATGACAAAGGGCATTTGATGCTTTCCAAGCCACATAGCTTTGATAGATTATAAAAGATCTTGCATATCCAATAATTTTAATATAATTTCAACTTTTTGCCTTGCTGAATTAATTTTGTGCTTTTGAGTTCTCTCAAAGCCATAACAAGTTATAAACTATGAGAGGTTGAGAAGTACAAAGTTAATCAAATTCTTAACAAAAACGTAGAGACAATCATTACAAAATACTGTCCTTTCAAAGTTATGCTGCATTAGTTTTGACTCAGCAGTTGTAGAGCTGGAAAAATACTGAAAAAACCCTATGAAATTACATCAAACAGGTCAGATGAGTTTTTCTTCTCTCCTTTCCTATCAATACATCTCTCCTTACAGGACCACTGTGTGCAGTGGATATCCCAGATGTTACATTTCTTTATCCTTTCTTTGTTTGTTTATTTTCAGTCTTTATTGGAATTGTCACTATCCAAATATTTTGGGCAATGTATTCAATTCAACCCAATAATGCTGATTAAACTGCACTGACAGTGCTTTGGGTTTCGTTTGTAAAGTTGTCCTGAATGGAATTCCAGACACCACTGAAGACAATACACACTAGGCAGGAATATTTACATTCCATCAGTTTCAGGGCACAGATGGATTATGGATGCATTGCAACAAGCAATCACATCACTAAAATCTCAGACTGAAACCTCACTGTCAGTTCTGCCCTCTCCTTTTAGCACCGTGGGCAACAAAACATTTGGACAAGCAACAGGTCCAATGGACCAACAGAAAAAGGACCTAGACAACCATGTAAATACATTTCCATAATACATTATATGTATTAAAACTAAAACCAACCAAAACCAAAGTAAACCCCAATGTGTCCCAATCCTGGATTTTTCTGTGTACACCAGATCCACCCACTGATTGTTTGCATTTATATCCTTGGAGGAATGTGGCATCTTCAACCTAAGGCATTAACAACCATGCACATACAAATGCTTTTATGCCTATTCCACAAGAGACTTTTCACCCACAGGACAAAATAACAGTACAACATACTGAACAGGCTGTTACGCCCTAATTACCATTGTCTTGTCAAAAAAAAAAAAAGATCCATTATGCTAATATACAATGAGATTCTTTTAAAACATAAATGAATGATACTTGCTCAAACAAGTACCATTAATTTTATCGATATATTCTCCAGAGTTCTTTATTGATCAGTAAATGAGAATAGACAAGCAAAATGACTTTCTGGTGGTACCACAAACCACGGACTTACAGCAAGACTTACTGCAAGAACTGGGACGGATTAGGACTGAGCAGCTGAGACCACCCAGCAATCTGCAAGTGCACCAGTATTTTGGAGCAATTCTAGATGAGCTACAAAAGAACAGTTTTAATCCAGTTGTTGACGAGGAGTAATCTGGCAGAGGACAGTCAACATCAAGGACTGGTAAAAAACAGTATTGAAGTATGCAAATATATTATGTTACAAAATTTAATTCTGCTGCCTGAAGTAGCTAAATCAACATTTATCAGTTTATTTAACTGATAATCCAGTCATCATAAGACAAGGTAAAGAAGCAGGTCCACCTTCTCTCTTACAGGATCCCAGAAGTAACTGTGGGAAGCTCCACAAACAGCTTTGCTCTGGCCCCAGGTTGTGTTTTGAAGCTGAGCTCTAATGTAGAGATCTGCTGCAAAGCCTTTGCTTCACTCACATAAGCAAAACTTCCAAAAGAAAGATTTCAAACCTTCCAATTGTGTTCCAAGGAGTTTTAATTTGCTCTCCCCTTCCACACAGTTCCCCCTCAGCACACATTAATGGTCTCCCACAGGAATACACCTCATTCTCTAGCAAAGAAAAAGCAGAACATGCAGAGTAGTAATAAAAACCCCGAATAGAAACTTAACGCCAAGAAATGCTGTGGACAGTTTTCCTGGTTCTCCATTAAAACCAAACAAAGCTGCCTGGGCTGTACAGTTTTACCCTGTACAGAGGCATCAAAGCTTTCAGAGATGTGTGTCCTACCCAAAGATGCACTGCACTGACCCAGCTCAGCAGTACAACCAGAGGTTCATTCACTGAATGAGAGCTGAGTTCTGGTACAACGTGGTGATGACATCTGCTAAAGCAGAAAACCAGGAGCCTTGTCAGACCTTCAGGAAAGGCAGCAGTGGGGATGAGGGGGAAGACCTGGAAATATCAAAGGTTTCTCCTGCACAAGAGCATGACTTCAGTTCCAGTGGAGAGAAGCAGCCAGCTTACAGCAGCAAGCACAGCCAGCTTTGGCACTTGTGTTACTGAAAATCATGTGGTGACTATCCCCAACTCAGCAGACAACCAGCTGGCAAGGTTTATTTGCCACAGTGACCACTTGAGCAGCTAGGCATTCCTTATCCCAGGCAAAGCTTGCTTGCTACCTGCAAAGCTACCCAAGTCCAGCTGCTATGAAACAAGAGACATGAGGTAATCATTATTTCCAGAAGAATTAACAGGATGCCAAGGGTGACACATGAAAAATGGCAGAGGAAGATTCTAAAATACATGAGCAAGAAGTAGGCTCAAAATCTACATTGCTGTTTTCCAATTTAAGCCCTGTCCAATGAAAGACAGTTTAATAGCATGAAGTGCAAAGTGTCTTACACTGGCTCAAAAAATAACAAATCACTGGAACAATCAAACCCTGGACATTTCTTAATCAAATGGACAAGTCCTTTGGGAATGACATGGGCAGAGACCATACTTTTTGCAGACCAAACCTGAGCAGAGATTGGATTTTGTTTCTTTTCTGTAAATAGACAAAACAAGTATTTCAAGATACAGCTGAAGTGGTTTCAAAATAGCCATGACCCAGGTCACAATCAGGATTTTGTATATACAATTCATATTAACTTAAAAAAATAAAGAAGTTCAAAATACCTCCAGAGAACATTCTAGGTTAGCAAAATGTCCTGTACAAAAGTAGGCCACAACTCTTGGTTTAAAAGAAGTCTGTTGCAGTTGGTCTTTTCTTAGCTGACACAGTAAATGGTTTCTTCATCTGAGGCTCTCCTGTTGGGGTGCCTGTGGATGACTTCAGCACTCCATGTCGGGGTTTCTGCTCAGGATTGAAAGCCACACGGGAAGGTCCTTCTGGGCTCACTAATATACTTTTGTCAGTCTTTTTAAATTCTGTTGAAAACCAAGCAAACAAGTTAAAAGAAATGAAACTCCTGGAATAACTGGACCTGTCAATCAACTGTGGAATTGCCCAACCCTGGGAATCTGTCTTAGATCCTTAATTTCACCAAGGATCAGAAGCCTAAGTCTTTGCAGAGAAAACAGAGAGATGGTGAAGAAAATCTCTTAGCAGAGTCCCTTGGAGAACAGGGTCTGCTGCAATCCCCTGAGAGGCTGTGAGCCATTCCCCATGGTTTCACAGACCACCAGAGACTCTGGGCCTACTCCTGGGACTCGAGTGTTCCAGCTATCCTGAGGATCACCACACTTGAGTTTAAAAGGGGATGATGGGTTAGAAGTGTCTGCTCTGACTGTCAAACAGCAGTGCTCAAGAGACTCTTGGCCATCCCTTCTGCCAGCAGGGAGGCAGTTTTTATGTCCAGCCATGCTCTTTTAACATAGACACGTATCTAAATACACTATTCTCCATTTGAACTTGACCTACTGCACATGTCAGAGTTAAAAAATAGCTAAATGGAATAAACTTCTATGCTGTGGAGCAAAAGACGTTTGTTTAACAGGGAAAAAACTGTCTGCTTACAGAAGGGAAGTGACATTTATCTACTCATGACCATTAATAAATTACAGGCAGCCAAGATGAAAAGGAAACTTGGCTATTATACGGCCTGATCTTATCAGCATATCAGCACCATTCCTCTGGGAAACACAAGTGAGCAATGAAGACTGTGAAGCTCAGGTGTTCCCCTCAGAGGTGCCCTGCAAAGAGGCAGTTCAGCAAGGTGAATCCATCACTCTGCTCCATGGTTTTCCAGCCATAAGGTTCCTTCTGCAGGTCAGTAATGCAGCACCCTGGAATTGCTCAAGTCTAGCTGTTGGACTGAATGTCCTAGACTTTACCATCTCCTCTGGAAAGGAACTTAAGGAGGGTTTGCAAACTATATATAAATAATGAGACAAAAAAAGGATCAGAATTGTCCTGGTCTAGAGGTGTTCTACAGGTGTGTGTGAGCATACAGCTTCCCCCTTCCTTGGCTACTAGAGAGACTTTGGAGACATGTATCAGACTCACCAGCAGTCATGTTTTTATTCAAGCCAAACGTGACTTTTTTGGAGCTGGGTGACTGCAGCTTGTTCAGCTACAAAGCAAAATAAAGACATGAAATAAAATAAGATTTCTGAGGCAATGCTACAAGTTCTTTTACCTGCATCCCATCAACCCAATGCAAAGCAGCCTACTTTCTTCACTTGATTTAGCCCCAACCCTCTAGCACTGACCCTTGCTAAGACAGTACTGTTTCTCTTGCCAAAAGCAAATATATTCCATTTGTGGAGAAATCACATACTCTCCTTAATGTCATTACGTAATTCAGCAGCAAACAAGAAGATATTTGTGTATTACATACACTGGCCCCACTGCACTCAGGCCTCAAAGTGCTGAGAGGACTTGAAAAGCTTTGTGTGTTGAAAAGGTTTAGAAAAGAGGACAGTCTTTTGAAGCCCTGTGCTGTTGAAATCTCCATGAATGGGAAGAAATGGAGGCTCCAAGACCCTTAGCAATGCTGAAAGTCACTTTATGCTTTTGCTTTCTTGTGAAATGATCAGATTCAGAATGGTGTATATTCAACAAGAAGGTACTTCTGAAAGCAGAGGGAAAGGAAGAATCACAGAATGTTAGGGGTTGGAATGGACCTTAAAGATCATCTAGTTCCAACCCCCTGCCCTGGGCAGGGACAGCTCCCACCAGAGCAGGTTGCTCAAGGCTTTATCCAACCTGGTAGTGAACACTGCCAGGGTTGGGGCAGCCACAGCCTCCTTGGGCAACCTGGGCCAGTGTCTCACCACCCTCACAGTAAGAACTTTTCCCTAATATCCAGCCTAAATTTCCCCTCCTTCAGCTTGAACCCATTACCCCTTGTCCTATCAATGCAGTTCCTAAGAAAGATTTTAGAGATGCCTACAACTCCTTTTCTGAAACTCTGGAGCCATGTGTGACTCTGTCTACAGTGGAATGCAACAGCATTGCCAGTTTTATGTGCTCCTGTTAGGAGACTAACACAGAGAGGG